AAAAGACAAAAAAAAAAAAAAAAAATGCCCAAAAAGGAAGCTAAGTAACACCTATGTCAAAATTGGGCCTAACTTCACCTTTAGGAAAACCATACCACAGGTAGTATTCAGAAAAATTTTGATGTTTTATTTCACAGCCCTCCCCAAACTAAAACTGAAGTTCAGTGAAATTCTAATTCCCTCAAAAGGCTTATTCGAAAAACTGCCCTATCCATCCTTGCACACAAGCCTCTTTCCAAATTTGAGCAGCATTACATTCACGACCTCTTTTCCATATAATTTTTGATATTCTCAAGCATTCTGGACAGTGGGAAATTAACAGATAAATTTCAGGGATGTACAAGCCAGGAACAATATCTGCAGACTGCAAACATCAAGGTGGAGCTATTTTAAAGAAAGAATCTAAGAAACTCAAAATTTCTCACAGTAGCCTGAGAAAGGCTAGAAGAATTGGATGATGACTATCTCGTTTTGCCAGACTACCCCTGTAACAAACTGAGAGCCCAACTACTCGAATTATTTATCTACCACCCCTGCCCAATTTTTAAAATTTATAAATGCTAGAAAAACACTTCACACCAAAAAGTACAATTTAAGACTAGTATATTTCCTCGGAAGGTTCCAATAAATTTTACAGGTGTCAATCAATCCTTGTTCAAATCGGGCACACACCAAATCTAGCATCATGGGAGTTTTATTGGAAGTGAATTTTTAACTATCAATACAAATGTCAAGATACTACACAAAACATCCACAGGAACTTATTTTTTTTTTTTTTGAATTGTACACAAACATTTCCTACATAATCCAACATACAACAGAGAAATGGTACATCTTTCAATTTGCATACAATGGAAAAACAAGAATATATATATATTTTACAAAGTTTAACTAATAGACACTAGCAGGTTGACAGTAAGTCTATAGGCTAGACACTAGCAGTTTGACAGTAAGTCTATAGGTGAGAAATTACCTAATAAAAATAATCAGAATTTATTCAGCATCACTCACTTCCATAACCAAGTGTTATTGTGATTAATAAAACTTGCTGCCAATCAGGCTTCTGGTATATACTTATACCATTATTCAATTTGTAGAACTGCTCCCCACCACGTTTCTTCAAAACTAACAGAAAACTGTTGAAGTGGGGGCAAGCATTTGCAAAAACAAACAAAAAATCCCCAGCTTATTATAAGCATGAATATGTAAGATGGAATTTCTTCCTAAGCAATGAACTTTCAAACCATCAAGAAAACACCAGAACCATTTGCCAAGATATTTTGCCTATGTCCGAGAAAAGATGCACTTATATCCAACAGAGGAGCTGAAAATCAAACTTAGTGTTTAGTTTTGGGTGGATTGGGAAATTATGCCACCATTTGAAAAATGACTGTCTTAAAAAAAAAAAAAAAAAAGACCACCAAAAATAGGTTCACTAAATTTATTTTAAAAATCATAAAACGTTTCTTACAAAAGAGCATTACATTCTGCACACTGCTCTGAACAGATGCCAGGGACATGTGGACTATGGATATCTTTTCTCCCTGTCCCACCCCCCAAATGTTACAGTGACCACAAAAGCAAAGTGTTCACAATAATTACATGGGGGGAATTGTTTTCTTTTTAACCACCAACACAACGAACAAAAAATAAAATTCACTCACTCTGCTGCTGTTTCAAAATTTCAATGTTAGTTTTTGCACACCCTCCCCCCCCCACCCTGTTTGTAAGGAACTAAAACATTACATCTGGTGAACAGCAAAGATTTCACTACACCTCAAATGCAGAACACCTATGAAGCAGAGGAATGTTGGCTTTTTAAACAGAAGCAGATAAAAAAAAAAAAAAAGATGCAGGACTCCTTCAGTTCTTCACTAGTCTTAGAAAAACTTTCCAGAATACTGCTTCACACTATAAAAAAGAAAAAATATCTTGCATTAGAATCCTTCAACATCTGCATACTGCTTCACACTATAAAAGAAAAGAAAAAAAAAGTACGAATTAGAATTTTTGTTTGTAACATCTTAATCAACATTAAGACAATTTCAATGCTAAATTAAAATGATATACATGTCCATTACAATTAGAAATAAGAATTAAAAAAAATTAGTAATTACAAATTAAAACAATGTAAAATTCAAGAAAAATAGTTAATAGTAAATCAGACATTAGTAGAGCAGAATTAAGAAAATGGAGTTAAAAGTTGTTAATATTTGGTAGAAAAGACAAAGAAATGCCAGTAAGGTGTGAAATGCTGCATTTTACAGCACCAATCATTTGTCCTGTAGAGGCATGGCCTGTGCCATATGGCAGACTGTGATTTGTTGTCGATTTAGTTATCTAAAAACAACAAAATCACTAGTCTTCCACACAGAACTAGGCCAACATCCAATGAATCTTCTATATTTTCTACAGGCTCTGTATAATTTTTAACAAGTGGTTTTGGCAGCAGTTTTCACCAGAGAAATGAGAAGTTTGCTTGGTTAAGGCTTCTTCCAGCAAGATTAGTATTGAATGTCTTCATTTTTAGTAAGAAGGAAGAAAATTAAGGCAAAGCTATAAGAATGTTTAGAAGTTAGGTCCCCAAAAGGTTGAGACACCATGGCTTCTAAAAGAAAATCAATTAAGAAAAGCTTTTTAAGGTTTTAGTATGTGTAAGCTAATAGAAAGCTAAACTTAAACTGACCATCTGCATACTGCTTCACACTGTTCTGCAGCAAATACTGTGCATTCTGTATCTGGTCCTGTGTTCCCGTAATGGTAATGATCCGATCTTCGGATCCTTCTAAAGGCTCATCAATTTTGATCGAAGCTCCTGACTCATGACGGATTTGTTTAATCCGCTGACCACCTTTGCCAATAATAGATCCAACCAAATCTTTGGGAATAGTTACTTGCATAGTAATAATAGGTCCACCAAGATCATCAATTTTGATCGAAGCTCCTGACTCATGACGGATTTGTTTAATCCGCTGACCACCTTTGCCAATAATAGATCCAGCCAACTGAAAAGATTTTTTAAAAATAAGTTTGATACACTTTTAAAGAAACTTACTACCCTATATTTTCAACTGCCATCAAGAGTATTAACTGTAGTTACTTATTCAGGGTGATTCATTATTTAACACCCCTGCCCCCCTAACTAGTTTAAGTTTGGTTTATAATGCATTTGCACTACATATATTAACATTACCTTTAGTAAGCTAATTACGGACTCAAAACCCTCTACTTTTCTTAACAGCATTAAACATCACTTAACAAGACTTATACTACAGAATTATGCCTCACTAAAGTCCTTAAACGTCTCAATCCTAAAATGGAGTCCTTTATCAAAACCTTTTGAAGAATTTAAGGAAATTACAGAAAGAGGCAATAATCATAAAATCGATTCATTAAATGCTCCTGGTCATATAAGAAATACTTACATCTTTGGGAATAGTTACTTGCGTAGTAATAATAGGTCCACCAAGATCACCATATGAGCCACGACCCCCTGCATAGGAATAATCTGATTTAAATAATGAGCAGTAAGTTCATTTAAAAAGCATGAAATAATGTTTGATTTCACGAAGGAGAAAACTTACCATATCCAGAGCCACCCTAAAAGCAGAAAGAAAAAATAGAAAATTATTTTATGTCCAAAATTATTCTTGAAGTACTTTAATACTCATAAAAGACATTACACTATGGGAAGTAAAAGACTTTTTGGCAAGCACATCAGCATCTTATTACTGATATGCACATCAGCACCCATGATACTCAACCTGTGGTTCATAGGCCATTTGCCATTCTGATGGGCTCCATGTATCTATTGCAGAATCCCAAGTTTCATCGGCACTGAAACCAACCTGCGTTAGAGATAAAAATATATCAATATGAACTGCATTATGTCATAGAGCTATCATTCTTATATGCTTATTTTCTACTTTACATTAGAAAAATATATACATTGGTGAGCAATTATGTATTTTGGGGAACAAAGCTCAATAAAGTCTTCACACTCCAGCAGGAAACAGAAACAATGATTTAAATGACACCAAAATTCACTGGTAACAAAAGCTTTTCAATTATTAACTATAGTCTTCAATAAAATTTTAACTATTTGACTTTAAGACCCTTTACAGCCCACACATACACACTGCTGACAAACCAAAATTCTTACCATGCCATCATAACGATCTCCAGGTCTTCCTCTTCTGTCATAGGCCATTAGGTCTCTGCAAGCATAATACTTGTTGTAAACTCAACTTGTTTACATGTCACAAATCAAAGTCTATCCTATCTACTGCCAAATGCAGCCTCTCGTACTTTAATAACTTGTGGATGTAGAAAGCTTACCCTCCTCTAGGTGGTGGTGGTGGTGGAAGAGGAAGATTCCGAGCTCTGCTACCACCCCGGCCACCTCGTCCGGGAGGAGGAGGAGGTGGTCCTCGTCGAGGGCTCATATCATCATAATCTCTTCTAGATGGAGGCATGGGACGTCCACCTCGACCAGGAGGCATTCTGTCAAAACCACCTCTTCCCCGCATGGGAAATCCCACAGGACGTCCACGGCGGTCGTCAAACATCATTGTAAAGCCACCATAATCATAGGTTTCATCATAAAAATTGGGATCATAAGGCTGCGCACGTCCTTTGATGGGAGACTAAAAACAAAAATATATAGCAACCTTACAGACTGTAACAAAAAGCCTCAGTTCATACCAACCCTTCCTCAACAAACAAAAGTCATTTAGCTTTCCCAGAGGGTACTGGAGGCAGGGACATAAACACGGGAAAAGATAACAGCAGGAAAAAAAGGACTTAAAAAATGCTATGCTTTCGGCAAGTGCTAAACAAAAGTGAGTTTTACTGCCCATGGTGTGTGTGTGGGTGGGGGTGGGGGGTGGGAAGAATAGCTTGATTTTACCCTTAGCTCTTAAAAGACTGCCATTTTACACACAGAAAACTACAATGCACACATCACAATGGTTTACAAAGGACTGGCCCTCCCAAGGGTTGAAGGAGCCAGTATCTTGGACAGGCCTGTAATCCTTACTACTGAAGCACATCAGAGGGAAAGCTGTGCAATGTACAAAGACACAAACATCACTTCAGGAAACTTCATTTGAAGGACCAAAGGCTGGTGATCGAACGACCACTCTCCACTTTTCCAAAGTCATTTCTAAACTAAAATGATGGCTAAAGCCAGGTGACAGAAAGTTGCTAGGGAAAGAGCAAATAAAGACATAGTCTACACATCCTGGAATTACTTTTATAGAAGAGGTATCAGTTTGTTTCATGAAACTGAAAGTAAAACAAAAAGTGTCTGAAAATACCTCAGATATAAGATCAAGGATAATCTTTATGCACTCTACAACCCTATCAGGCTTCCCTCCAATAAGAAAAACTCTGTCTGTGGAATGAGGACAGCATTCCTGGAAAAGCTTGATTGTTGTCTGAGTGTTCTGTAATAAGTTTACAAAAAGAGAAAAATTATTAGAAATAAATAAAATAGATTTCCTAGGTTCAGATAAATGTACACTGAACTCTAATTTTTCCCCAATGTAAAAACTTTGCAATATTGTAGTATTTGACATAATAACTTGTCTACCACTGCCAGGTCTTTTTGTTATTTTAATAGTAAACTAGATAAAGTGATAAGTTATCTTAGGGAAGGAACTCATAGGGGAGTGAGAAAAGCCTACAGAGACAAGTCTATATAAAAAATTATTTCGCAGTAAGGAGTATGGTAAGAAAAAACAAAATAGCGCCTTTACCTCTCTAAGTTCTTTGATTTTAGCACCTTTGACTCCAATAATTCCTCCTGCCAGACTCTGATGAATCAACAGTCTCAACTCACAGTCAAAGTCGCTTCCTTTATAGTGTTGGTACTGTGAAGGGAGAATTATAAAATTTTAGTCTCAAATCAATAACTCCCCAACACACACTTATCTGCTATAAGCACAACAATATACTGTTGCAGTGAGCAACCTGAATTTATATTTCAATAACTTTACCAGTTATGTGCTTATTATCCTCAATAGCCAGGCCCAAAAAGGACATTCTGCACCACCTTAAAAAACTATTTTATTTTCAGGTCCTGCAACACCATACCCACACTGCAGCCATTTAGCATGTCGCTGTTACCACAAAATTATTATTAACATTCAAATAACACCATAATAAAAATGACTGCAAAGCACTTTGCAAATGTAGTTAATTCCCACTGCAGCATGGAGCAGGGTCAACAGTGAGTTGGAAGACCATTCATGTATCATGCTTTTAAGCCTTTTCTATAGAGATGGGAAAAGTACACTATGTTAAAAATAAAATCAATCCTATGGGCCAGGCTCCATACTTCAGTGGGGTTCAATGGCACTATGACATACATTTAAGCATTCCACAGCATCAGATTCGAGCGGGAGCTGGCTGGTTGCAGTGGGTGATGGCAACTGCAGGCCCTGAAAGTAGAAAAATAAGAGTAATAGGTTAAGTGTCTAGCGTGATCAGGCTATTGTCGCATATATTGGTAAAGCTACTACAACATACTTTAAATCTACATTATTAAATAATGAGAAACTGCTTAACATTAAAACTCAAGATATTTTTCTTTATACACCTAGTAAATAAACTACATAGAATCTTAAAATCCTCTAACTAGATCCAAATAATTCTTTTCAAAATATCCCCACAATTAACAATTTTCTAATTTGAAAAATATCCCCTCTAAAACCAAAGCCTATAAAATGCACACTAAATCCACAGAAGTGCATGACCACGAGCAGTTCATATTTACTCCGTGAGTGGCCAGCCTATATTTTTTGAATAAAAAAATGCGTGTGCAATCTGTAGCAAGTTGTAAGATGTTACTGCTACAAACTGTTATACCCACTGTCTCTCCACCTCCCCCATTAAGCCACAATAAAATACACTTTAAACATTCCCCCTTGTATTGCCAAATACATTAAAAAAAAAAAAAATGAGCCTACCTCTTCCAAGGTAGGGATGATTTTCTTCAGAATTTCTCCAATTGTTTCAATATCAGCACTGATACTCAATATGCTGTCAAACATCACAAATACCAGATAGTACAAAAAAGGTGAAAAAGAAAAATGAGTTTTGTTTGTCATCAGTAGTCACATGAACTTTTACAGAGAAGTAACATACAATTATTTAATATTCCCCATTTAAAGTAGCCTATTTATAGATTTTTCACATGCATTTTGTTTTATGCCCAATACAGACACGATAACAGTATTAGACTTGCAGAGAGACAGAGAGAATGGGCTTTTGGAAGGGCTCAGAATAAGTGGGCAATAAATTGACCAGAACTGAAGCAGAGTTGAATATTTATGTTCCCCGCCACCACTAAGGTAAGGATACCCTCGCTGTTACATTGGTAATACTGGCACACCTTCTCTTAGGCAAAGTGGGGGAAAATAATGCAAGTGGTGAACATTATATCTGGAGTAAGATTATGGATACCAGTTAGATTAGATCACTAATGGGCTCTGCAAGAAAACAAATACAAATGCAAGACAAAACAAGACAACACAAATGAGAAGTGGAGGAAAGTGAACCAGAGTTAGCATTTCATCAGAAAAAATTATGAACAGGCAATGTCGGGAAGCAAGGTGGGCCACAAAGACAGAGCGAGAGACTATTTTGGTAACAATCTGATTTACAATGCAGCAAATATGCAACACTTGAAGCTGTGCTCCTTCCATCGAAATAAAATTAGTGGATCGTTTGGGTGGGCAACTCACGGTAAAAGTTCAGTGACAAAAAGACTTAATGGGGAAAATAAGACAGAAACTTGAAAAACAATACACCGTCTAAAGGGGATACTATTTAATTATATAAAAGGCAGGTAATAAAATACATTTCTCTCTTTCTAATCAGGCAGTGAGGCATAAACTGTTGGGACATACCGCTCGGGGCCACTGCTGTCTGGGACTGAAACACTGGCATTGTACTGCATTGGTCATTGGCGTTCGTGGATGTTGGCATTGGGCATGGGCATTCAATCAGAAGTTGTCAAGTATGGTACCCGTTTGGCAACGAGCACATTTTTGGGCATAGCCAACCAGGGTTTTCACATGGGCGTTCAGGGGCGGATGGGCCAACGTCATGGTGGGCAACGCAGGGGTAAGTCGATCCAGTACATGGGCAACGGAGATATATGGCCAAAAAAACAAGGAGAGGGAAAAGGGGGAAAAGCAATAAATTTTAATTTAATACAAACTATACTCATACTCTCAATTAATGAAACAAGCTTAAGTTGTTCTGAAGACTAACACAATAATGGACTTCTCTATACTTGACTGTGGTTTAACATTTAAGGACTTCAAATGATGATTCTAGCTTTTTATTAAAAAAAAAAAAAACAAAAAAAACAAAAACCAACCGAAACCAAACAAATAAAAAACCAACCAAAACCAAAAAAACCCAAAAAAACCAAAAACAAAAGAAAAAAAAAACAAATGATGTTTCAGTAGCAGGCTGGCTCATGAGGGTAGACACAAAACCTGTCATGACTGATGCAACGTGTTATGTGGACCAGGGAGTTGAATAAAAAAAAAAAAAAAACAAAAAAAACAAAAACCAACCGAAACCAAACAAATAAAAAACCAACCAAAACCAAAAAAACCCAAAAAAACCAAAAACAAAAGAAAAAAAAAACAAATGATGTTTCAGTAGCAGGCTGGCTCATGAGGGTAGACACAAAACCTGTCATGACTGAAAGTTTACTGAAATTCTTGAGGAAATGGGGAAATTAACCCAGATAATTATACAGAACATCTGGATTAAGAGGAGAGAGGTTTATAAAAGACAAAACAAAAATTCCCACACCACCAAAAACCCTAACTAGTAAAAGACTGTTTTGGTTTTCTGGAGGTTTAAAATGCATTCCTAGATCTTAATAGGCAGGTTTGTAAAATTTTAAACAAATTTTCAAGTTCAGTTTACAGTAATCAAGAGAACATACAAAGATCTGCGACCAAGAGAGAAATGAAATACTGTCAAATAAGTACTCAACACAAAGTTATTTGCTTCAATTTTAGCAAGAAAACATTAAGAAATGTGTACACTATGAGAAAAAAATTAGATATTTTGGTGTAGCTAGATCCTATAAATATGGTCACTTCTGGTGCTGCCAACATTTAATGTGTCTAATCACAAGAGTCAACCCACTGTAAAATATGAAGACTCAAACAAATCATAGGTATTGACAAACGGTTTCTTAACTATAAGATTAAGTGCCTACTCTATTCTTCACCCATATTTAAACCACGCAACCTTAACATTAAATTCTTTGTGCTCCATGTGCAAGCTGTTAAAGAACAGATAGACAGTTTTTTTAAAAAGGAAATAAAAAAATTTCTGGATTTAATCAGCCACCTGCAATAGTTTTCAGTAATACTGTATAATTAGTTCACACATGGGAAATAGTGCAATTAAGGGCTTTTACGCTTTGTCACTATTTCTAATTAAGATGTTATCTTGCTTGAAGTGAATGATTTGGTAGAATCTTATTAGAAAGTGTAGAAATTTAATATAAACCCCACGACCTACTCAATCTGGGGTTTTTGTTAAAATGGGAATGGCAAACCTTATCTGAATCATCTATGTAATCAATTACTACAAATGGCCTGTAACTAACTAGACTATTAAATGATTTCTATGATGTAAATCTTCAAATTTCTAGAAACACATAAACTGAAGCTGCTTGTGTAGTAAACTCTTTAATACTTACGTCTGTGCGGAGAGCCTTAATATTCTTGCCTCCTTTTCCAATCACTGCCCCAGCATTCTGAAGAACAGACAAAAATTATTTTGCCTTTCTATAAAATTAATCCATTCACCTATGCTCTTAACTTTAACTAATAAAGAAATCTCTAACATCTCTTTGTTATAGTCTAAAAACCTATTTGGGGCCATCAAACATCAGGTCCAAAAAAAAAAAAAAAAGCTATATGCTTTGAGGACCAAACACTTTAAGACTAAGCTTTGGAATATCCAGAATATTCCAAGACTCAGAAAGAGTGTAACACTTGAGCACAGGTTTATTTTACAGTATCCCCTTGTAAAGAAAAAAATTTAATCATCAGTAGGTACCTCCACATTGTGACATGTAATAAGCAGTAAGTAAACTGCCAACTAAGATGATTCCTAAGGAGTCCACAATGCAACCAAACTTTAATCCATTAATGCTTAAAGAACCACCCCCACACCCTTCTAGTTTGACCCGTAGCGGCTCACTACAGCAAGGGCTTTCATTTTAATTATTGCAAAACAAAACCACAAGGGCCTATAAAGTCTGTTTAAAAAGAACCACACAAAACAGATCTTTTATATTCTTCAATATGTAAAGCTTTGAAGTCTTCACAGAAGGCCAAACAAAATTTATCTTAATTTCTACTTGAGTATGAACTACCTCAACAATCTCAAGAATAAAGTTTATACCTTGCTCTGAAGCAGAATACGTAATTCAACCATCTCATCGGTGTTTCTAGATCTTTTAAATGCTTGTTCTTCTTCCATATCTTCTGCAGGGCGTTTACCTAGAAATTAACAGTTCAGATTTCAAAGAAAGCAGCAATGTCTTCAAAAAAAAAAATCACTCTAATTACAGTTTAGTTTTAACTTGTAGGTTAGAGAAAACATCTCCGTTCTGAGATTTGTGGCTAACTACAAACATGTTTTAAAAAGGCCAAAGGCACTGTTACAGTCTTGGTCTTATGCTTCCTTCATTTACTAAACACATGACAGCATGACAAAATACTTCCAAGGGTTAGAAATTCCAAAATGTAAAAAGAAAAATTTTACATTTATATTTATTGGCTTTCTGCCCTTTTAGTTTACATAGTTACCTATGTAAATCAGTGTCTTCTAATTCATAATAAAATTTAAGACGTAACTGATAAATATCTCGGTATAAAACTAAAATTTTACTCATGTAAACAGAAAGGACAGCAAATTAAGCCACACGATAAAGTAACAGTAAAATTAACAAAATTAACAGAACAGAAAGTACCGAATTGATACAATTAAAATGTCCTCTCACCAAATTCACCATTGGTTTCAGTGTTGGGGAAGGTTTCCTCTGGCTGTTCAGTTTCCATCTTCTCGTGTTAAATGGACACACCACTCTGCTGAAAAATAAAGAAGCTAGTATACACTTAGCTTACTGGAAAATAAGCGGTGCATCTTGCTAAATGTTTAAAAGAGCAAAAAACCAAAACATATAAACTTCACTTCTGGAACGTACCAGTTATTATATATCCTTGCAGAGCAGAACTGAAGTGTTGTGGGCGGGACCAACAACAGACACCCTAGTGCTGCAGTAGCCTATAAAAACCAACATAAATCAGATTCGCTTTTTTTTTTTGTTTATTCTTATTACCAAATACGAATTTCTGATCACAATAAACACTGATTTGAACGCAACAAACTATTTCTAAAACTCGATTCTTCATTTTAGGGTCTTAAAATCCAAGCGATAGCCTCAAGAAAAAAAAAGTCAAAGGAGCCTAACTGATTTTCTGCTGAGAGGAAAAATTAATTTTAGCCATTGGATTGAGTCCCACCATGGCAACTAGTTGTTTTATACTGCATATTCATAGAAGCCGAAAAAGGTATAACCTAGTTTTGTCTATAAGACATAAATCTGTAAAATAAACTGCATCTCATTCACCGGAAACAAAACTAGTTTTATAATGAAATTTGTAAATGTTTTTGGGTTTCTTTCGACTCGTGACTTGAAAACCTTATCTTTGAAATCTGAAAATACAACGGCAAATGCAAGCCATATCCAAAACCCAGATCGATCTACCGGAGAAAAAAATCCTAAAAACCTTAAGTAGGACCAAACCCAAACTGCCACTACCATTTTACTATTCAACAGAGTTAATAGAGCCCTTCAACACTAATACAATCACTAGCGGAGTATTTTAAGTTAGGCTAAAAACGGCATAACCCGACAATTCTACCTCTAACAGAAAAAGCTAAAAATGCTGTGACAGAACGGAGACAGGACTGCACAGGGCCTCTTAGCTGCCGTCTCGGAGCTGGTAGGCATGTGGTCCCTACTAAAGTACGGCTTGCCAGCGTAGAGCTAAAAATCGAGGAAGCATTTGTACCCCCTATTGTTCCATAACGCTGGTGGATATATCACTCTTTTAACAACTAAACGATATCCTTCCGGCCCATCACTCACTTAAATTCTAAGGTGGGGCCGAAAATTCGGATAAGGGATTTTAAGCAAAGATAGCAGGGTCTGTCAGGGTAACTGCCGCGCGCCCAACTTCAGGCCCTGTAACCACCATTCCTCGTACCCCCCCAAATCGCTAAGTACGTGCTCGAGCAGCCAAGCACAAACGTGCTCCCTTCCTACCCGATATCGCGACCGGCGACAGCCGAGTAACAGGAATTGAAAAAGTGAAAGCAGAGGCGCCGCACCTCTCCTCACCCGGATCCGACAGGAAATGGCGGCCCGCGTAATGGCGACTACGTGCTACTAGGCGGAGCCGCGCGCGGACCCCCTCCCCCACCCACCACGAGGCCCCGAGATCTCATCCCCCGCGCCCTCCCCCACCGTCGGAGAGACAAAGCAACGGAGGCCGCTCCGGCCGTTCCATCGCCCCCGCTGCTGCCCCGACCTCGGGCCGGGAGTCCGATGTGCGGCGGGGCCCACACAAAGAAGGCGTCGGCGGCGCCGCGGCGTCCTCCACACTTCGGACTCCCACCCACCGCCCCTGTCCCGTCCTCACGCACGGTGCCCAATTCCCAACACGACTTAACTACAGCCCGTCCTAAAGAGACCTGCCTCGTGATCTCCCCAAAGTCGCCAGCACCACAACGCGGACTGCGGATACACGCTCAGGGAAATGGCGGCGGTGGGGGAGGGGAACCGAACAACGTCCGTCCTCGGAGCAGCCAACCACCGCGCACCCCTAGGACGCCTCCCTTAAGCGGAAAAACTGGGCTCCTACCCTCACCCGCACGCGCTGCTCGCCCAGCCCCACTCCTCACCGCGCGAGGCCGCCGTCCCTCCGCAGCCGCGACGCCTCGGCAGGTCACGGCTAGACAGAGAAGGAGCGCAGGCCCTCCCCCGCCTCCTCCTACCCGCCGCCGCGCCCAATTGGCTGCCTGCGCTCCAGCAGTGGCGCGAGGGCGCAGCGATTGGCCCAAGGCCGCGTCAATCGAGGCGACGGAGGAGGAGACAACTCCACCTCCCTCCGGCGCCTCCCTTTGAGCCGTCAGGCCAGTAGGGCCCGAGAAAAGCCGGCTTGGAAAAAGTCAACGCAGTTTCTCAGGGAGGCCAGTCCCCTACCCGAGTCTATACTACTCAAGCCCCGATGACTCCAGTTACCTACAGGCCGCAAATAAGTGGGAAGCAGGCGAGATGTGGAGGTCGGTGCAGCGAGAAACAGAGGATAATGGCGTCCGCGGCGCCGTCGCCCAGAGCGCCCTCCTCCTTTCTCGTTCGCGCATTCACTCGCGGGGGGAGGGGCGAGGGGCGAGCCTATCGCGAGACTTAAGGACGACTTATCGCGCGCACTGGGCGGGGCGGCCAAGGGGCGTTTTGGAGGCCCGCAGGAGTCTCGGGTTGGAGGAGGGGCGCGAGCGCGCGGCAAAACGGGCGGGAAGAGTCAAAAAAGGATTAGGGGGCGCGCCGTGGAGATTCCTGTTGTCACAGTTGCGCGGCCCAGGCACCACTGCTGTACGAGGGGAAGGCGGACCCCAGGTCGGGGGGGGGGGGGGGGGGGGGGAGCCTATCGCGAGACTTAAGGACGACTTATCGCGCGCACTGGGCGGGGCGGCCAAGGGGCGTTTTGGAGGCCCGCAGGAGTCTCGGGTTGGAGGAGGGGCGCGAGCGCGCGGCAAAACGGGCGGGAAGAGTCAAAAAAGGATTAGGGGGCGCGCCGTGGAGATTCCTGTTGTCACAGTTGCGCGGCCCAGGCACCACTGCTGTACGAGGGGAAGGCGGACCCCAGGTCGGTGCTCTGCCCAGACTTACGCCCCCGTTTGTCCAGTCCACACTCGCTTGTCCCTCTGTCCCCGCCGCCCCCGCCCCAGGCTGCCGGGCTGCGGGACGAGGTGCGCGGCGGGAAGTGCCTCCCGCCCCCCGGCTGTTTGTATCGGTCTGCGGAGCCGGGCAGTTCCCTCGGGCGGCGTACCGGGAGCGTCTCCGCCGAGCCTGGACGCCCTGCAGAGCACCGGTCACTTTGCAAGGCGCTCCGTTATGACGAGACCTTCACTCTTTCCTTCTTTCTTTCTCGTTAACGTGGCCTGCGATGTGAATACTTTGCAGCGTCGTTACAGTTTATTCTGAGGTTTTCAGGAAGTAAACACTGCGTTTGTTTCCTAGAATGAACGCACCTGTCACGGTACGTTGTGGACGCCCACGTTCCGTTCGTTCCACTGGATAAAGCGCCTGCCCCGTGTCCAGAGACTCGGCCGCGGTTCGAAGGGACGACGCCTCCCGCCTCGCGTACGCTCCCGTTCCGGCGTGTCCGGTTCCTCATTTCCGAGGCCCACGTGCCAGGCTTCAGTGACTGCTTCGTTACAGCCCATGAGGTCACTCTGAGTCGGTGACAAGCCTGGGGAGTCGCCAGTTCCGGTAGTATTTGCGTTCCACGTGCTCACTCGTCAGTCTCTAGCCTCTCCCCACAGCCCAGACTCGTGTTGAAGCATGAAGACGTTGCACATACAAAGCTAAGCCCCACGTTACAGCCCACGCGCGTGTATTTTAGTAGTGATTTTATGCTGGCTCATTCCTGTTGTCACTCAGTTTCCTTCTTGAATAGTTTGCAAAGTACACATCGGCTTCCTTTTTAATGGCTATGATTACATCCATCTATCATTTTTTTACTTGCCTGATTAGGAAGAACACTCTTGTTAGGGGGAACTGAAGAATTTATGAAGTTCCAACATTTACACCCAGTGAGGATGCATTAGCGAAATACTGTTAGAGCAGAATGTCTGGGGTTGTGGAACCTATAAAAATTCTTTTTAAGTGATAATATAACTTTCTTAATGGCCCTTACCGTGAAGAGTGTATAGTTAATGAAATTTAAAAAAATTTTTTTTCCTGATTATAAAATTAATGGGGATTAAGCTGTATATAATTTTATGTGTTCCTTTTTTTCTTACAAAATGAACATATTGTGAAAATATTGCCATGTCGTTAACTAGTCCTTTAAAAATGTTTTATTAGGGCTGGCCCGTGGCTCACGGGAGAGTGTGGTGCTGATAACACCAAGGCCACGGGTTCGGATCCCTATATAGCAATGGCCGGTTTGCTCACTCAGGAGAGCGTGGTGCTGACAACACCAAGTCAAGAGTTTACATCCCCTTACCGGTCATCTTTAAGAAATAAAAAATGTTTTATTAGGGCTGGCCCGTGGCTCACGGGAGAGTGTGGTGCTGATAACACCAAGGCCACGGGTTCGGATCCCTATATAGCAATGGCCGGTTTGCTCACTCAGGAGAGCGTGGTGCTGACAACACCAAGTCAAGAGTTAACATCCCCTTACCGGTCATCTTTAAAAAATAAAAAATGTTTTATTAAGCACTCTATTTTGTGGATGCAATGTAATGTATTTAATTTTTTTTCTAATGCTGAAAATTTAGATTGTTTTTTCCACAGTATAAAAACACATTGATAAACAGTCTGGCACATAAATCTTTGTTCTCATTTCTGATTGTTTCCTTAACTTTAATTCTGGAAAGAAGCGGATTATATGGTATGAATGTATCTTAATGTACAATTTAAAAACTGTCTTTTCAAGTTTATTTTTCTTTCCTTGGACAATGAAGTTCTTGAGGATCAGGGGCTGTTTTTTGTGTGTTAGCAAATGGGAAATTGTGCTGTCCTACCTGACCTCCCCTTTTGAGCTGTTTCTATCCGCTGTGACTGTGGTTACCCAATTTCTCAAGAAAGGAAGGGATAAAAACCTTCAGAATTCTCTGAAGGAATAGACGCAAGTTAAGACAACTTACCAAATCATTAAGGGTCTCAGTTATTGAAACTCAGTCTAAACTTTCTGACATAGATCCTACACGATAATACCTTTTCCATTTGGTCTGGCCAGTAAGCTCAGTTGGTTAGAGCTGGTATTGGGCGGACACCCTCTCTGCTGTACGGCCAATAACACAGTCAAGGGTTTGGATCCCCGGATCCCAATACTGGCCAGCTGCCAAACAAACAAAACTAAAAAACAAAAAAAGAAGCGATTAAAAATTTTAATAAGCTTTCCTTTCTTACCCGTCGGGGAAAAATTCCATTATACATGATCTTTTTATTACAGTTGTTAAAACGTGTAGTTGTAGGGACTATATCTGTGTTCCAGATCCATTGTATTGTCCACTTTACTTACTTTGTTGTTAAATGAAGAATTCTGTGTGACAGATGTGTATTTAGCACTCAGTTATTTCCCCAAAGTTCATGACTTTTTGGTAAAATATTTGAGAATAGCTGTATTTGAGTGCTTGTACGATGTTGAGTCTCTCATCACATTTGCTTGTGTTTTACAAATAGCTTAGTTATATCTTTTGGGGGTTTAGTCATGGAATTTTTTTTCTTTGCCTAGTTATGATAACATAAGATTATAGTATGTCGGTTGGTTCCAGAAGTTAAGATTCAAATCCTAGAGGGTAGTACTTGGAGAGAATTACTAATTAGGACTGGCACACATTAATGGAGCGGTTCAGTGGTTGTGGATCACTGAGCAGTGTTTCTCGGAAGTTGTCCCAACTGTCAGCTGCAAGGAGTTTTGTCACTTGCCATGTAAAACATCATATGAAAGGCAGTGCATGTTTTAAGTAAATAAAAGTAAAATTATTACATAAAATAAACATAATAAGCCTTAAAGTATCAGTTTGTAATATTTCAAAACATTTAAAAATTATTTTATTAGTCTTTGAGTAGAGTTATAGCAAAAGGAAAAGTATTTAACTAACACTTGTTTTGAAACTATCACAAAGATTAATGTAGTAGATGATGTTTTTAAGTTTTTCTTTCGATTTCGTAAATGAAATAATTTAGAATGTGCTAGGTGAGCATGTTGTTTATATGATTTGAGAAAATCTGTTCATTGTAATAGCAGTGTGGTACTCTTATAAAATGGCCATTTTTGTGTGGTTTTTATATGTAAGTGCATTTTATATGCAAATGAGGGACTTTGTCTTTTTACATATGTCAACAGGATCTAGAAAATGGTATAGGAATGGAGATTAGCAGAATTTATGTTCTAGTTCTGGGTCTGCTACTCAATATGATCTTTGTGCCTTAATCTTCATGCCTCAGTTTTATCATTTATCAAATAGATGGTAATACTTTTTATTGCAAATGATTGTTTTGAGGTTTAGATAACATTGCAGTAATTTGAAAAAATTTTAAAGTCTGACAAGTAAGAGATTTTATTTTTTATTTTTAGCAAACTCTTATCCTTAATTCTCTGTTTACACATCTGTATCTGCTGGGATATAGGATTAATACTTTTTCAATTCATGACTAGTCTTTTTTCCTTTCTTACTGGTTCCTTCTTCCTAGAAATCTCAACAGTGTTATCTCCTGGTATTTAACAGGTTCAGGTAGAAAATAACATTTATGTTATATGGCTGCATATAATAACTAGGAAGCATATACTGCATCCAGAGTAATTTACAGTACAAAACATTCTGCAAGCAACTTAACTGTAATTGTATATTCATGCTTGATAATTCACTTAAATAGTATATAACTCTACTGAAAGTACACTTTGTCCTGATTTCTGTTTACCTAATGACTGTCATCATGTTACCACAACACCTTTGAAAATTATATCCGGTTCATTTGCCAGCACTGTGGTGTTTAAATGTTAGTGGAGGAAGTACGTACCTTATTGATTCAGTGCAACTAGGAGCCATAGGTCTGGCTTAATTTTTGAGATTGAAAAAAAATGACAAATACAATAAAATAGCCCTTTGGAATCTTAGGTTATATAAGTCCAGATCTCTCAGTATTGCAAATAAGATGTCATTAAGCATGGAATCATTTTTGGAGGTTTTAACTTACCTTTATTTTACTTAATTTCATATTTTGATGTTATTTAGTTTTAGGCCTATGTCTTATGAAGCATACAGCTGGATTTGGTTTATCCAATTTGAGAGTATCTTTTAGCAGGTGAGTTAATCTATTTATGTTCATTATGATTGCTGACATGTTAGACTGATTTCTACCATCTTCTTTATTATTTCTATTTATAGCACTTTCCCATTCCTTTTGTACCTTCTCTTGGATTTTTTTTTGGGGGGGGTGAGGTGGGGTTGGCTGGTAAGGGGATCCAAACGACCTTAGCATTGTAACATGAAGTTCTTTTTTTTTTTGTCTTTTTTTGTGACCGGTAATGGGATAGCAACCCTCGGTGTCGCGCCTGTACCGCGACCGGCAACGGGATCGCAACCCTTGGTGTCGTGCCCGCACCGCCCTCAACCAGTGAGCAGACCGG